AAAATAATGCAGATTAAAGATTCAGATATAAGAGAAAAACAGATCGATAAATATTCTCAGAAAAAGGCAAAAAACTGACTTATTAAATATATCAAGAGTCTTCAATAAACTTTCTAGGAATTTTGAGAATTCGCCTAAAACTACCTAACTATATGGTTAAGTACTTTTAGCTGAAATTGCCACACCTCCGCTAGAAAACTTAGCCGTTACGGCGTGTTGTATAATATTATTTACATATTTTTTCTTGTGCAATAATATCAGCTAACTTCAATTCCTATCTTCGAACTTTTGACCTAAGGACCATCACTCCAAACTTCCGGCCTCCGATCATACAGCCTGACCTCAGAAATATCCGGAGATGATAAAAAATAGTTCTGGTTAGAAGAATAGTTGGTATTACTTTTTTTTCAAGAATTCCATATCCTTCTTCTGATCATGAACCATATAATTGCAAGAATTAGTAAGGTGAGTATGATATATATTAACATTGGCAACATTAAGAAGCTCGCAATAATAGGAGCAGTTACTGGTAAAGATACCGCTTCTGCGCCATTTAATTGCTTCGCAACCCCTCACTCGAAATATACTTTTCAGAATATGCTGGTCGACTATAAACGGATTGATTGGGTAGGGTATCAGTCTGGCTTCTCGAAACCATCTCATTCTGGGATAATACCTCTTGCAAAACCTCTAATATATTTTCTCTAGCAAAACTTTTATCGAATTCCATAACTTTATTTTCAAGACCAAGCTCATAGACGAGGGGTCTTAAATTGTCACTGAGCTAACCTGGTAGCTTTTGCAATGAATCATTCATAGGCAGAGGTGGGAAATTAGAAAGCTCTACTATTTCATTATCTTTTTTTGAGATTATCTCTCAGAGACAAGAATTTTCATCCATTGAATTTATTCGCGCTGAAGACAAAGCATCTATTTCCCATTTGAATATGTTATGTGATGACTCTATCCCCTTTTCCATGCATTCTATCATATAATTTTTTGAGGATAAATCATCATTTGCCTGTTTCAATTCAAGCCTGAGAGAATCGTTCTCTTTGGGATCAGATGAGTCTATTTGGGTCAGCTCCTCTAGTACTCCTCCCACTATATGCGAATCATGTTCTAGTTCCAGATCTAGCAACTTACCTTCCAATTCAACTACCTTAGCTTCAAGAGAAAGTATCTTGACCTTGTCAGCGGACGAAGCTTTCTGCGTCAAAGTTGCCTCTCTCTTTAGTATTTTAATATTGGATTTGAGTAATTTGATTTCAGCAGTATATTTGGCTTCAAGCTCTGTACAGGACATCCGTTCATAAGTAATTTGGGATGTAAGCTTAGTATTTGCACCATTTAGCTGGCTAATCTTACTTCCAATATCATCATGGAATTGCTGGAACTCCTTTTCTCGTCCTGAATACTCTGAATTTTCAGTCTGCAACTTTTTGTTGAAATCAATAATTTCAAAGTTAAAATCAATAGCGAATCTTAATTTTTTTTTCGAGTTCTTGCTCATATGTACTACCTAGCCGATGTCTTCTATCTTTTATATCTTTTAGTATACGTACATTGGACATAATATTGGCATGGTTATATAGCAGAAAAAAATATGTTGCATTTTTTTTGAGACCACATAGTCCTGAAAATTTCAGAAGCACCTTATTTTTTTATAAATACTATGCATATTGATACATATTGGTGGGTATTGAAAACATATTAATATACATTAAAGAGTATTAATACACATTGGTAGGCATTGAAATATATTAATACACATTGAAAAATATTGATATGTATATATTGACACGCATCGATATTTATTAAAAAGTATTAATATTTTTTTTCTAATATAAAATTAAGATGGTAGCTCATCTCCATGATACATATTATGATGCTAAGGCAACCCTGATATCAGAAGCTGATATCAAGAAAATTAGAGAATCAAGAGGTAAGATACCCAATGCATCAAAAAAAATGGCTGATAAATTTCATATCGGATCTAAGTGTGTTTATGAAATATGGGATAATAAAGAACGTATCCAGCAAGAGTTATTTCATTTTCCTCTGGTCAGCTGACCTAGGTTTTGGATGAGAATTTTCAAACTAATAAGATAGAATAGACTGAATTAGATATACATAGCCAAAATACATCACCCTTCACAAAACTGGAAAAAAAGATATGCAATGATGATGTTGAGCCTAGTAAATCTACTGATTTGGCTTCAGAAGGAAGTGTTATTTTAGGCGGTAAGGCGAAAAAGACTGGAAAAAAGAAATCGAAGTCTGTTCAGATTTCTGAACCATCTAGTATTCAGACTCAGCCAATCCAGGCTTTAGAGAAGGATACAAATAGTGTAAATTTGGATACATCCTATGAGAAGATGGTCGAAGAAAGTATAAAAATTATAGATGAAAAAAGGAAGCGTTATCCTGAAAATAACTTGCCTATTCCCTAAGAAGACTTTCGTAAAACTCATTGATTTCTGCATTGAACTTGATAGCATTGGAAAGCTTCTTCTCAAGCTCTTTTATACGAATTGCCATACTTTCATAGCTCACTTTTTTTTTAATACATTATCATCCTCACTTAAGTCCTGCAAGTCTTGTGAAATTCTATCTGGAGTTGAGAATTCATCACATTCAGGAGTAGTGGTAGCACAATTCATCTTGAGCTTGTTCTTGACCTTATGCATATTAATTGGGATAAAAAATTCCTTACCATTACACTCTAGTCTCAATTTTCGTTTTGATGCAAGTAAATCATAATTATATTTATCAAGCAATGTGTTAGGTAAAATAAGTATCGGCTTGAGATACTTAACTACCGCAAAATCAGCATATATAGTACATCCGGAAGCGAAATTCACTGGGACATTTCTAACAATTCCAAGGGTTTCTGTGAGGGTGGTAACAATACCTCTAAGATCATTTTTTTTTTGTATCGATTTCTAGCTTTAATTGTTTAGAGATATCCTTAGACATGATTACAAAATTAGCGCTAGGATTGACCACAGCACCTGGGATCACTAAGTGTTTGATTTTACATTATACTATTGCAATGTCTGTAGCAGGATCCTTTTTCTGAACGAAGTCAATTTCCATTGGATCATCCAAATATTCTTCCTCCTCTAGGTCATTTAGAAAATCTTTAGAAGCTGGTGAAATATCACTCGGAGGTTCTATCTTTTCCTGAATAGGATGCACTTGTTTTGGTATATCATTTTTAGAATCTTGGGTAATAAGTGCGGGAAAAATTAATTTAAGTTCACTTTGAATAATCTTGCGGATGGTATCCTCTAAAGTACTTTATTTACTTTGTTTAACCTTACCAGAGCTGACTATGGGTTTCTCAATATTTGTCTTCTTGGCTTGTTTATCAGATTTATGCGACTTGGACTTCTTCTTAGACTGTTTCTTTAAGGGTAATTTCTTAGGGCTAGACTTCTGCTTTACTTTTTTTTTGATTTGGCAATATTAACAGTAATATCGCCCCCAGAATTGGAAGAATCAGAAGAACTTGTATTAGAATCAGAACTATCACTAGATGATGATTCACTAGAGGAGGTACTAGAATCTAAATTAGAACCTAAATCTATAGTAGCAAGATTAACTTTAGCATTCTTAAACCTCTTTTTCTTCTTCCGAGTGCATTTGCGAGAATTATGTCCAGTCTTGTTACAGTTAGAGCACCGCTGTTGCATCTTCATAGCTTTTTTAATCGCTCTAGCCACATGTAGCTTTAACTGCTTTTTTGTAAGCTCAGCAAGTTCTTCGTCAGAATCGACTTCAACCTTTTTCTTTGGCTTTGGTGGCAAAGTAGGATTAGGGACAGGAACAAATTCTGGGGTTTCTCCCGTAATCCATGATAAAAATCTACCTATATTTTCATCTCGTAAATTTCTATACATTCCTGCAGGATGTGGTTGGAATTGCGATAAAGCCACTTGTTGAGGCCGTTGGGATTCCGATGATGCTATTGTATTTTTTACCAAGCTCTCAATTTCATTTTTAGTCATCCCACCTCCTGATCTATTAGTATCTACATAGGAGCTGGATGCTGGAAAAACTGGAATAGAAGATAGTGCATTTTTTTGAGATAATGTAAATTTTTCTGCTTTAGCTAAGGCTTCTACAATATTATCATGTGTATCGGGAAACTTAGCTATCATTCGAAGATTATACTGGTTCATAGGACTTAATCCACGAATTAATTGCTCTCTTTGTTATTCTGGAGTCATTCCAGCTAATTTACCGATCTTTTTGATTCAGGCAGAAAACTCTTTAATACCCATATCTCCTTGCATAAGTTGACCAAAATCTACTGTATGTTTTAAGTGTTCGATGGTCGTATAAGCAGTTTCGAGTAAGTATAAATGTTGGCTGAGTGTTATATTAGGCTCTATTGTAATAGCAGGTAAACTACCACCAGCATTTGGGGCCACTGGCGTATCATTTGTAGGCTTGCCACCTGCAATAGACCAGTCTTCACCCCATATTCCATTCAGAATAATATCAGCTCCAGTTGCGACACCTGCACCAATTCTACCAATTTCTGTATCAGCTTTACCTTGAAATTCTCTGGCAGTATTCAAACCACCAATTTGATTACCACCATTTCCGGCGGCCAAAGCTCTAACTGCAGTTAAATTAGCCACACCTAAATTATCTGAGATATTACTACATTTCTAATTCTTGCTTCTGATGCGAGTTTCATATCATAGCTTAGCAGGTCCTTCAAGACAAGATATTAATAAACCTAAAGCCTCTGCTCTTCTGGTGGCCTGACCTGCTCCAGGAGCTACATTTATTCGACTAGCTACTACATATCTCTAAAAATCTTTAAGGAAATCTTCTGAATCTTCTCCAGAACGTCCATAAAATATTAGGGGTCCATATCCTACCATTCCTGATTGTTGTAAATTAAGAGGATTGTTTTGTAATGCTAAAATAATTTGCCGGGAATTTCTATTTATTAGCTGGAGAGCGAATTTCTCATGTATTAATGTATTAATACAGGACTGCTTTCTAGTATTATTATCAATAATCACCCCTTCCAATTTTTGGGATACACCATGCTATTTTTGATGTCCCAAAGTTTCATCCTTATATCGGTCTTTCCAATTCTGAGCTTGACGAATGGCACAACCATGCCTCCCTCTCCAGCGTTCTGTATCATTATTATACCTCGCAGGCTACTAATTTCGGCATCTTTATACCTCCTAAGATCATCGATTTCAGCATCTTTACGCCTCCTGAGATCATCAATTTCAGTATCTCTACGCTGACGTGTATGTCTTTCATCCTGTAAAGCCTGAGTTAATATGCGAACATTACGCAGTGCCTCTACTTCTCATTGTTCTGCATTTCTAGTTTGTGCAGTTTGTTCTGCAAGCTATCTACCTCGATTCTCCCAATATCGTTGGGTTGTTTCAACATATCTAATAGTATTAGTTAAGCTTATAGTAATTTTATCAAATTGCGTAATTATATCATCTGGAAGATTAATATTTCTTTCATCCAAATGTAATCGAATTTCTGTTATGCAACCTGAAATGTGTAACCGTCCATCTAAAATTGATTGGAGTGCATTATCCATATTACCACTATTCTCTATTCTTTCTCTATTGCTTGAAACTTTTTTTCGGCTTCTTCCAGTTATTTCATGGATACGAGTTTTAAGCTTCTCGACCTTATCTTCTAATTCATATAAGCACTCCTTCCCAGATAATATATGCTTCTCCTTTTCCCCTACATATTGCAGAGCTTCACGCAGGCGCTTCTTGAGAGACGTGATCTCTAACTTAAGGTCTTCTATCTCTTTCTCATGGGTTATAATAGTACTATCCTAAAATGAGATAGTTCGATAACATTTCTCAAGCTCCTTCACGAGGGATTGAATTTTTTTCTCATTACTTTTATTAATAGATATTTCATCTTGAAGTTCACTAGAAAGCTCCTGGTTTGTATCTAAAAGCTCTAAGTATGCTAGATCAGTGATGTCCATTTCCTATGTCCCAAGCATTTGCTGTCCCAGCTATATGTTTCAACTATATGTCCCAACTATGTCCCATATATGTCCCAAATGTCCTATCTGTCCCATCAATGTCCTATCAGTGTCCTATCAGTGTCCTAACTATGTCTCATGACAACACTGTGCTAGATCGCATAAAATGGTAGGTATTATATTTTCAACTCGATTTATAGAATATCATATAATCGTGACCTGAGAATGAGCTAACCGCAAATTGTGATAGATCCTGATGAGGCTCATAGTATAGAACGGAATCTTATTTTACGAGAGATATATTATCGGCCTACGGGATATTTTTCTAACCCTAAATCCCTAAGAAATACATGTAAAAAAAAGGGCACCGATTTCACCTAAATGAATGCAAAGATTTTTTAGAAGATCAAGAGTCATATCAAACAAATAAAACCTCTTCAAAATATATCCCTAGAGTCAGCTATGGGTGAATAACACGCTCCAATTGTATACATCAGTGCGATATACTATTTCTCACTCATGATTACTATAGAGGTAAAAAATATAAAGCAGTACTTAACATTATAGACTG